AAAGAATAGCAAAAAACTGAAACGTGTCTCGGAGAAGAAAAAAATAATTCATCTGCAAAAGATAACCAAGGAATGTGAAACGTTTATTGCGCAAGTCAAAATTTGATAGGAAAATAAATGTAAATTACAGTGTGACAAAGTGTATGAAACCGAGATGTGGAACATGTAGTTTGATTGTTGAATGTAACTCGTTTGTTTTTAAGAATGGCAAAACATTTGAAATGAGATGTAATATGAATGAATTGTAAATCAAGAAATGTAATATATGCTGTAATTTGTGAGAGATGCTCTGAATTTTACATTGGAAACTGGAAATAAACTACGTCAAAGATTGGCGGTCCATCGTCAACAAACCAAACTGATAGTTTACGAAATTTATTAGTTAATCGACATTTCCATCAGTGTTGAAATGGTAAGTTTTAATATTTACCAAATGAACACATCAGATTCTATTGCAAGAGGGTTTAGAGAGAATATGTTTATTAAAATTCTAAAACCGGGCTTGAACGCGGGAATTTCGAGCGCCTCTTATAAATTTTAAATTTACAAATTCTGTATATTTAATATCTTCGGATAACCTAAGTACTGTGCTTTGAAATTAATTTTTACTGTCAGATGTTTTTTAATTTTTACTATTGAACAATGTATTCATTTGAGCATTTGTAATATGTTCCGTTTCATTTTCCATATATTTCATTGACGCATTTAATGCAAGTACATTCATGTACTTTTTTTAAGACGTCGCCCTTTCTAGACGTCCGCATTATGTGTACTTTGTTTATGACGTCATTATTTTTGACGTCTTTTAAAAGTATATGTACTCCATTTATGACGTCACAAATAAATTCAGCGATATTTTATTTTTGTATTGTGGTATATGTCATGCCAATGTAGACTGATAACCATGTTTTCCATAAATTGTAACAGACAGTGACTTACATAGTAGAACAAATTTACATCAGCACATATCACAAATACAGACTTCACACTGAACATACATACCTTAAAACCTTTCAGATCTGGAACGATGAATTCTGGTACCATCTCTTTAATGTTTCTGTACTGCTTTATATCCTCGTCAATAAGGTTCCGAGCTCACTGCGCATACGCCATAGATTAAGTCGATCATAATGGGTGTCCGATACATGTTACACATGGCCAGGAGGCTGGGGTAGAAAAGGGGATGCACGAGCAAAATCGACACTAGATTCACTTGTTAGGATAACGTCAGAAGTAAAAAAACTCGCTTAGTTAAAACCATCACGCTATAGCAGTTTTCTTAGACCTAGAAAAAGCTATTGATTTAGTCTGGCATGAAGGACTTCTATTATCGTTTAAAGAAATCGGCATAACCGGCAATATGTTTAGATTCATATCCAATATTCTTAAAAACCGGAAAATACAAGTAAGGGTAGATACTTTTTTGTCTGATGAAAAACCACTATATAATGGGGTTCCTCAAGGTAGTGTAATTTCCCCTACTCTATTCAACATCGTCATAAATAAACTAAATTATCATCCTAAACAATATGCCGCCTCTGTTAAATTATCCAGTATAGCCCAATTTGCAGACGATACCAGGTTCTGGAACACAAGTAAGATAATTAGTTTTAACGGTAATGTAAATACCCTAAAATGCACACACTACATATCTAAACAGAACTTCAATACATACCTAATACACAAAAACAGTTGGTCCCCCCGGATGGTATATCCCACCCCCTTCCTTACGATCTATGACCTTCTCCTTGACCAAATGCACATTTCCTATCACAATCCGACATTCCAGTCACACCATTAATCCCTTAACTGTAATGTCCATATCAGAGGAGATAATTCCCTATATAGCACTTGTGTATTTCCCTACATGTTTCCATTAAGTCTCCCCTCCCTACCCATTATACTCATATCCTTACTAACGTCACATAACTCTTATAAATGAATAAATAAATAATACGTCGAAATGCAGGTAAATACAAGGAGAAAGCTGCAGTGTGGTTTTACATGAGAGCTGACATTTGTGTTGTGAAACAGAATTCCTGTGTAAAGGAGCATATATAATGGACTCACATGGAAGGACGACAAAAATATAAGATCGAGCACCGCACAGTACCAACCACTAATAAGTAACACACAGTCCGTCGGATGGGACTTAAAATGGGGTCCCGTGTGAGATTGTCCAAATGCACGTAAAAGACCCCTCTGAGTATTGTTGAAGAAAAGTCGGCGTGGTAACGCAGACTCAGAGGTTAGGATATTTTAGACTTATAATAAGGGTTAGGTGTATTTAGTAGAATTCATAGAAGGACAGTGAAGCTGTTTAAAGGACGTGTTCCACGCTCCCGTATACGTGCTGTATGTAACTGTGACAGCCTATCCGCATCTAAGGAGCTGACCGACCTTAGGGCGTGATCTGGACGGGCAAGGTCATTTTGAATCACCGAGGGCCTGTAAGCTGGAGACTTACTCCCTCAAGACGCCAGAACACGGGCTCCGCCCGTGAAAAGGTGTCTATAAACCCATCAACCAACCAACCAAATTAGTAGAATTTTAGATGGACTTCAAAGGTTAGATTAAATCAAATTCATCTTGGCTAGGGTTAAACGGACTTGGCTTGTTTCAGGGTCTTCCTGGAGGTGCCATCTCTCCGCTCTTCTCTTATACCGCGTCTAACATCTTGATGCTTTACGGATAAACGTTAGGTTACCATTTTTCGGCCCAGGAGCCGTCTTGCAAAATTATTATTTCCCCCGTGTAGGACCTATAGGACAGACGACTCATATCTTCTCCACCTCTACACTCTCCCTTCTCTACTTTCTCTACATACTTTGCCCCTTCTATTTCTGTTCTCGTCTACTGAAATAATAATAGCGGACGTAAAACCTTAAAAATCAAAAAAAAATCAAAAAAAAATCGAGGACTTACGTGGCCGGAAAGCCGGCTAAGAGAACGTTAGGGTCTTTTATACTGTAAACTGTTATTAATGTACGTATCGTTTGCTAGCTTAGCCGTGTGATATTAAATAAACGTTAGTTAACTTTGAAACAATGTGTTGATTGGTTTATAACTTGGATACTCCTCAACATCTGAAGGTCCTGTGTCTGACCGCGGGTCAGTTCGTCGGTAGTTTTGGGGGGAAACCGAAATTACTATACGATAACTTTTATCTACCGACGCAGGACAGGCTCTCCCCACGGATGTCCTATTACAAATATAACCACGGACTTAGATCTAGTCTAGCTTCCGTGATATAACTATGGTCTTCAGTACATGAACTACCACAGGAGCCAGAAGTTCTGTAAATAATCAATATTTACGATATAATAAAAAAAATCATTTTTCATCATAGTATATCTATTATTTATTGACAGAATTTGAGACTCCTATAGTATCATATCTCAACTGTTAACGTTTAATTGTATTTTTAAAACTACTTCACATTGTTGTTGGCGGTATCAAAACAGGATTCAACCAGATAATTCATATTTATTTTTTAGTTAATTATTAAATATTACATTTCTCGTTAATTTGGACTACTTCATTTTTTCTTTCTCGTTCAGCAATAATTTTGAATAGAGCAGTTTCAGCAAAGGCAGAAGGAAATTGAAATACATGTACGTGTAGATACTCTCTTTCTTCTTACATATAGGCTACATCAACTAATATTTAAACAAACTGTCCTAACATACAGAAAGGTTAGCGAATCAACATAAAGGTAAACTTGAGTATATCGATATGTGCTATTAGCTCACAGAAGAAAACAATCTTAAGCGGGTACCACAGCTAGAGGCCAAACGCGTTTCCTTGCTGTACGGGGGTCAATTTAAGCAAGTTAACTCTACCTCAATAATAACGTAGTTATAAAACGCATTCACATGTATATTTTTGTGGAGAAAATTAATTATCCTCCCCCCCCCACCACCACCACAACCAACACAAATATATTTATATATATATTGTTACGACAGATATAAAATATGGTATTATCAGAGACGTATATAGAGGATCTGTCATAAGTTTTCCTTCAAATTAGATTTATGATACAAGTTATGGATTTTTAATGTTTTCGAGCCTCTGGCGAACAAATATGAAAAATCCAAAACGACATCAATTCAATATGAAGGGAAACGAATGACAGATTCTCTATATACGTCTCTGATAATACCATATTTTATATCTGTCATATAATACAGAGTAAACTGTATATTTGTGATCTGAAACGAATATTTTGCACTTGGCCGCCTTTGAAACGATGAAAATTGCGCTCGCTTTACCATGACGTGACGTCACATTGATTGCTCCTATTCGATTGTGACGTCATTTCCGGAGTGATATTACACAAGTTACATCAACATAATTTATGTGTTTGCTTTATGACACTGCATACCACGTTATATACATGATAAATGTATTCTTGAGTCTGAAGAATCTCCTTGAAGAGATTGAAGTACTAAAGATTCGTTGTTGAGATTTTTTCTTTTTATGTTATATATATTTATATATAGTTGGTGGGTGGGGGCAGTTAACCGTCTCCACAAAAAAAACGTATACGTGTGAATGCGTGTATGATTGAAGTAGGCGGATATGAGTATAGTCATTATTTGTTGTTATTATTTAAGTAATTCGTGACTTTTCATCTGCTACCGATTCTAGTTAAATTTTATAAACTACAGCCCGGTTGTGTTATAAGACGTTCGGGCAAGTTTTTGTTTGTGTTGTGTCATCTTACAGTTTGTTAAATGGTATTATCAGAGACGTATACATACATCTCTGGTATTATTGAATTGTTGTGTGAATGGATTGCTAGACTCTAAGGTACGTAACGATAATAAACGAGGTCCTGACCCAAGGTACCTGTTATACCGTCAGCCTATCAGATATATCGCTAGCCCCTATTTCAATATTGATTAAATACCCACTCGACGTGTATGTGTATCTGTCAGCAAAGTACGACCTCGACCTACTTTAACGATACACATGTAACTTAAAATAGAACATGTAATCATATTTCTGAGAAGCGTCGCCGCCATATTGACAATCCTGAGATAGGTGTACAAAAAGCTGGACGAGATGGCGGCCCAGACACCAGTGCCTGGCTGTACTCGACATCCAGGGATGGGGTTTGTTTATGTCTGTAAATCGTGCGAAGACCAGTTACTTTGTATGGAGTGTGTTACAGACAGTCACAACGGCCACACGCTGGGTAAACTTACTGATTACGTGGCGGGTCAGAAACGGGAAATACAGCAGTATGCCGACAAACTCTCCAAAACCGATATTCCCAAAACCGAGGGAGATATTAAGGAAAGTGGACAACATGCCGAGAGGGGACGATATCAGAAAATGATTGAGGGAATCAGACGTCAGGGAAAACAGATGAAAGACGACATCGACAACGCCATTGACATGCTCGTGAGAATGTGTACCGAGTTAGAGGAGCGCAATGCAGATATTTCTGAGAAAAACAAAATTGCATGTACTAAATATCTGAGGGAGGACTTGAAACCAAAGCTGGACAGGTGCAAAGAAGTACTGACATCCGGTACAACTGTTGACGTCACTACATTAGCGCGGGAAATTAGAAACGGTGTAGCCACTATCCCACCAAATCTCAGCGATTTGCAGAAAGTTGAATTCAAACCCGGGACAATCTCCACCGAACTCTTAGAACGCATGCTTGGTAAGCTACTAGTCGATGGAGTAGATGCGTCGTACAAACCGATTCCTAAATGTGTGGTTTTGTACGAGTTTGAGGCGCCGTTTCCATACCATACATGTCAAACATGTCTTACCGGTGACGAGGCGTGGTTATCGTTCTGGGACAGTGAAACCATCTATCGAGTGGATTTGAAAGGCAAAGTCAATGAGAAGATAGAGTGTCAGGACAAAGTCTCATCGATCTCCGTATCTCCGACCACGGGAAGAGTGTGGTTATGTGTGAGGAGTGACAGAAGTATCCGTGAAATCATGACGGGTGGTGACAGTGTTACACGCTTTAACGTAGACAGCACACCAGGTTCTTTGTGTATCACTAGTGACGACATGGTAGTGGTGGGGATGTCGGGAGGAATACAACTGTACACTACAGACGGACGGGCGGTGTCGGCAGGAGCGGGTGGTCCGTGTAGACAGGTGGCAGCAACTCCTCATCACATAAGGTCATGTACACTGACCGGAGATGTAGCTGCTGTTGATCATGATGGTGTATCGTTTGATGACTACATGGCTGGTAAGGAACCAGGCAAGCAACCGTCCGTCATCGTGATGGATAAACACCTAAACCTGAAGTTTTGCTGTAAAGCCATCGGTACGAGGAAAACACACGGAAGTGACATTCAATCATCAAAGTTTTACCCGTTCGATGTTTGTTTTGATGGAGCTGGTGATGTCCTTGTAACGGAGTATGTCACCAAGTCAGTACTACTGATTGACAGGAATACTGGGCACTATATGAGGACTGTTTATACATCTGATGGAGGTACACCTATGTGTATCGGTCTACATCATGACCGCACCCTCTGGGTCGGACACAGAAATAGAACAGCAAAGGTCATCCAATATAAATAGACGTGTGAGGACAAATATATCC